CTCGTTCAAATGTGGATCTTTAAAAATTTTGTCAGTCGGATCACAATCATCTTTCCTGGTAAAACGCGCGCTGTACATCAGCTCCTTTTGCCAGATAAAGTTGTAGGAAAGGATCATTCTGCGTCTAGCTTTCTAAGCTATTTTCAAAAATTCCGGAGGGACAAAAATAAATATTAGAGTGTGTCATAATTTTTTACCGTTTTTACTGCATCCGCCGTCTTTTTGTATTTTTCCTTCATCTGATGTGGCTTGAGTAATTATTCGGCAGGGCAAAGCAAACTCTGCAAGACATCTATCAAAAGTCTGCTCAAATCATATTCACGTGAAGCTTTGAGCTGAAATCTGATAGTAGTCGAAAACGAACTTTTCCTTCAATCGTTTCTCCGACCCGAAATATCCAAAAAAATTCCCCATTTATCCTAGTATATGCATGACGTATCGCGTATTCAACTCTACTCTTTTCGAGTTTTTTTCCTTGGCTAGAAATAAAGAAATGAATGAGGCAAAATGGCAAACTCCGCCTCTAAACTTCCTGAGATCCTCCCATACATGTGATCATATAGTTCATACATACAGAAGTACGATCATGTATTTGGATCTTTTGTAGGTGCCCCATTTCTCAAAAAATGCTGATGTTTGGGTAAAAACGGTAAAGAATTATGAGACACCCTAATAGTAGTACGAGTCATTTGACTCACTCTTCGCAACCGCGAAAAGTTTTGTGAGAAGCAGGTGTTTGTAGAAATTAATGACATGTTTACATTATCTTGTTATTATCCTAAGGATTTCCGTTGGGCACGAAGTTGATGGAGGGTCTAGGTCAGAAAAAATGTTGACGGTTGCGGGCTGCGCAAATTTTTGGGTGAGTAGTCGAAGTCAAAAGGTGTAAATTGACTCCTAAACTTCAATCTTTGCAATCAGTCACTTTTCAATAATTGGAATAGAATTATAGATTGGAATTAGCAAGAGCTGATTAAGGCTTAAGGATGCTCGAGCTTAACGATTAACAATTTTTACGGGAGCAGAATTCATCTGTTCAACACTAGATGAGTTCATGATCTTCGTATGTAGTCAAGTCACAAAAATAGGAAAATTATCTTCTAACGTCAATCATACTCATTCAGCATGCACTTCTACAAAAGAAAAGTATGGAGAGGCTGAGAGTGGATTCTCCATACAGTTCGTGTGTTTAGGGGTGAGTGGAGTACATCTTATATATAAACCTGAATGTCTGTTTGTATGTCTGTACGTCTGTCTGTTGTGTGTCTGTGTGTACGTATGTTCCGAATAGAAAATTCCATTTTCGAACCGATCCGGACCAAACTTGGCACACATACACTTCGGGACCTTACGGGTGTCATAGGCTATTTTCGTCATCGATCGATATCGATTTTATCGATTTTTATCGATTTTTTGCGGAGTTCACCTACGGGGCTGGGATTTTGCACAGGGCGGTAATCGAGCATGCTGATTACGAATACAATATTAGTTTTCAACATCGTCCATTACTTTTATCGTTTTTATCGATTTTTTGCAAAGTTTGAGCTACGGGGTTGGGGGGTTGGTGAGGAAGGCAGGTGAGCATACTGATTACTAACACAGCGGGAGTAGGGAATTGCACGTAGAAAGTGGGCACAGGTAAAGGTGTACAGGGATAGAAATGGACCCTTCATCGTTTTTGACAGGGCCGGGCGGAGCCGGGTAAGCAAGCTAGTAAGTTATATGCTTACAGCAGGTTTTTTCTCTACTAGCAAAAATATAAGAAAAAATGTGACAAGACAAGAACTTATGACAACGATGAAAAGAGAACAGATTGACATTTTTCCCTGATTACTCTGCACTGCATTTCGAAAGAAAAATGGTTTCCTGGCTAAAAATGATAACAAATGCCAGCTCACACTGGGTTTTGCTGTGTTCGTGCGTTGCTAGTGCAATCTAAAAACAAAGTGCACGGATTACATCGATTCATTCGGTTTCATGCAAACGTGCAAGCATGGCTAAAGAGCTTTGCATTCTCCAGACTCTGAAAAACTCCTTTGATATTGCATTTTGGACAGATCCGAAAATCAACAATTCTTAGAATTTCTGAAAAGTGCAATGTAATGTGCAAGATAGTGAGTGCCAGTGAGTTTAGCAGCTGTCCAGATAGCGTTGCAAACAACATTCGTGCTGGACTCAAAAAGCTTATAACAGGTTTTTTCAAAAATTATTCATTATCTAAACGAGCGCCACATTTCGCAGAACGAAAAATTATGGAAGGCATTGGTAGCGTTCAATCAGCTTATCAGGCTCTTTTAAACACATTCTAGGCAAAGAGTTTTAGAAAATTAAAAAGCTAAGAGGTTTTTTTGTTATGGCCAAGTTTCACATTTTTCTCAATTTTTTGTACTGATTCGCCGAAGAAGTTTATGTGACATATGAATCGAGCAAAGCCTACATGGTTACAAAATCTTTTCTTTCTTCCATAATCCACCATGATTTTTTGACAAAATTCCCATCAAAACCTAACTTTAGCACTTTTTTCTCGTTGTCAGATAAAGAAGAGCCCAATAAATCTCTCAAACTTGGAACTTTCGAAGGTGGATTTCAATTCAACGCTAAATTCGCAAAGCATGTGAGCCTTTACAGACATGAAATAACAAACTTCTAGAATTTTCCGAGCATACAGCCTCTGGAGCGCCCAAAAACAAGATAGTGGATTTCATAATGGCTCCTAGAACTCTACGAAATGGGAAGAGACAGAGGAAGGTTGTCAGAAAAAGGAGAAGGACGAAGAGATTACATTTAGAATATTTTGAATAGCCAGCTATATGAAAAAAAAGAATTATTTTGTATTTTGGGTTTGCTCGATGATAACGTTACTTGGACTATTTTAAGGAATCAGCACAAAGTTTTGAAAAAATAGCGACGGAGAATAGCACAAAAATTCAGAAAGTAGCGAAACTTGACCACAGCAAAGGCCTTCGTAATCTTTGATAATTTTCTGGGGCTCGTTTGAGAAACTGCAATACAAATACAACCATCGAAAGTATTGGGAAAAATGCATGGAAAGTTGAAATACTCCTAAGTCCTTACTCTGCGGAATGCTACGCTCGTTAGAAAAAGCAAAATCACTTTTGAAAAGACACCAAAACTTAGCATTTTAGGAGTTTTTCTCATTGCTTACCTCCTTTATGTGTTTGTATTCTATGCGAGCAGGAATTATACACCTGAACCCTTACTCAAGCGGTGCAGTTGCCGTTGGCTACTTTTTACCATGATTTATAATCTTTTGGCAAATTTTCGAGCAGGCCAACTTGTGTTAGAGGGGTTTGCGAACTTCTGATTAAAGTAAAACAGTCGCAAATTGACAATGAGCATCCAGGATTGACGATTTATCGATCAAAAAAGAATATACTTGAGCAGAATTTATGGGATGCGACGGTTTCGCCGCGGTGTTTCCGCCGCGTCTACTCGATGGAAACTTTCAGTGTAAAATTTGAGAATAATTAGTGGTTTTTTCGAACTTTTGTATCACCGCCTTCCCAAGAAAGAAAGTCCGATCTCGTGAAAATCGTTTTGAACGAGATTAAGCAGTTTCGACAGTTTACTCATAATACGTCGCTACTCGTCTTTTATACCCAACTTCTACTTTGGAGCGTCCAACTATGCATTTTTGTGCAAGTTGCTTACGAATTTATGCATAGGCGATGAACAAGCTGACTACAGAAAGAGTGATTTTTTTTGCAAACATCGATTCTTCCAATTGAATTCGTCGTCAGTATTACCGTTTTGAATCTCCAAAGAAATGGCTGTGAGTGTTGGTAGCGGGAAATCGGAAATGTGAATCAAATAAGTACTAACTGTCGGCTTCCATTGTTTACTGATCGTGCTTGTAACAATGGGGAAGGGAAGCTACGTATGTGCAAAAGTGAATAGTGAATTTGGTTATACTTAGTTGTATTGATAGAATATACGCGGTGCTGAGTAAGCCATCTAATCGCTCATACTCTCCCAGGAATCCTACAGAATCCTACACGTCCACAAGAAAGACTATTTTTAAATGAGACAGGTAGTGGTCAACATGACTTTGCTTTCTTTGGGTTTTAGGTGGTAAAGCTATCAGTTTAGTGACTGCCTGAAAGTGAGCTTTTCTTGAAGCTATCAACAAGCACTATACGAAAACTGAATGCAAAAGTAGAAGAAATCTCATTGCTTTGCAGAAAAAAAGATTTTTGATGTTTTCTTCAAACCTTTTTGATGACTGCAAGTGCATCTATCGTTGATTCTTTGACCGCACGGACTGCTTAAACGCAGAACCCGCGCGGCGCGGCTAAAATGTTGCGAGAACACGATTTGTACAATGGCGGATTTGTACTGGGGCAAGCGTTTTACCTCGCGGCGCGTGCTCCGTAGTGATGTCCAGTCCGTGCGGTCAACAAATGAACTATAGGTACGGACTGCTTACTGAAATGTGCATGAGGCTTACGCAATCGGCTGCAATTTGTGAACGAGATGACAAAGAAGCAAAGGAATAAGGTTTAAACACAATGTGTGGATGGGAAACTGAGAAATCAGCGAAGTAATAACATAAACCGCGCAGAAAATGGAAAACCGTTGTTCTCGAGTGTTCTGTGGGGGTCAAATTCAATATCTTGCAGGTAATTGTGATCGAAATAACTGGTGAGGTAACTAGACAGTCAACTGGTAGATTGTCGTTGAGTTCAGCTCTTCAAGGATGCCATCTTCAGCTTCGACTGGTCGACATCATCAAATGGGTAGAATGGATGGCCAATGGCGCTACAAAGAGAAAATAGCTTCATCATGTTATGTGACTAAGCTGAAATGTACTTACAGATCCCATAAAAACAGCCGCACTCTATTTTTGACGGCAGCAAGTTTGTTCATATCGTCCTGACTTAGTTCGAAGTCAAAAACATTTATGTTTTCCTTGACACTAAAGAAATTGTAAGATTTACTGTTAGCGTAAGAATATCAAGAACCGAAACTCACTGCTCTGGATTGACACTCTTCGGAATGACGATTATTCCGCGTTGAATGAGATGTCTGAGTGATATCTGCGCTGGAGTTTTTCTGTATTTCCCGGCAAGTTTCTTCACAACAGGATTTGTGAGTGGGTCACCTTCCGGCAATACCCTGTTAGAGTTGAATGCCTGATTTGTAAATCATACATCTTCAAATTATCAACTGCAGATTTATCGACTCACATATCTGCCTCGCGAACCGAGGGCTGAGTAAGCAGTGACTGACATATTCAGTTTTTTACAGAGTCCCACCATCTCAGTTTGTGGCCAGTAAAGATGGCATTCTATCTGCAGTAAAGTGTTGAATTATTTTCAAATAATAAATTCATTGGAAAGCATACTGCAATTAACTGGAGAATTTGACTCGACATCTGCAAAGTTCAAAGTTTCTAAGACGTTGATCAGACCTGATTTTTTCCGAAATGTTGCACAATTGCTGCTCGAAGTAATCTCATTAGGTAGAAGGTTCAGCCACCTAGAAGTACAGAAAAAGAGGCAAAAGCTCTGTTAGAGTTTGTTTAAAATCGAATTTACGATAGCAGATGTGGAACCCGCCTGTTAGAATCCACAAGGCCTAAAAATCCGGTGCGTACTAGGCTTCAGAGCCTTGTCTCCAATCGAAATAGGCTAGAGCAGAAAACAAGGTTACCAGATGTTTTTTTTTGTAATATAAGTTTAACAGGTGGCTGGCTGAACCTTTTAAATAATGAGATCACTTCAAGTAGCTACTGTGCAATGTTCCGGAAAAAATTAGTTCTGATCGGCGTCTTAGAAACTCTCAAAACTGCAGATGTTAAGTCGAATGTTCCTTAGCAGAGCCATTAGACAATGCTGGTTTCTCTCAGGACGTTACATGCATCGGTATCAGCGGTACAAGGAGGGGGGGGGGGAGGGGAGGAGGCATTTGCCCATTTTTGAAACTTGTCTACGTGAATTATGAAATTGTGCTAGTGATTTGCTACGTAAAACCAACTGAAATGATTTTTGAATTTTTTTTCAAAAATTCACATTTGAATTTTGTTTGGGGTATGGCTATTTTAGGGTGTAGGCCCAATAAAGTGTAACAATTTCTTTGGAAGGCACGTTATTCGAAAAATCTGTAATCCCTTCCCTCTCCGCCAACTGTTCTCGAACCGCCAGAAAGATTGATATCGCTTGAACGAATAGCCACATATCTTACTTTTTGTCCTTTGTCCCATACACTTATTTCTTGTCTTTTGCGGATGAGCTTTGCGCTTTGACTAGGGAACTCTGTTCCCAGTCGTAAATCTAACAGCTTTCTCTATCTCAGTAACTCATCGCTTAGTCGGCTGATGTACAATAGCGTTGAATGTAGCGTTATTCTTTATTGCACAAAATGCACTTTGTATGCCGAATAAAAATTTTTACCTGATGATTAGCCGGCTTGATGCGGGCATTGTCATAAATGTTTTGCAACTGCTTCACATTGAAGTTTGATAAGCCTATCGCCTAAAAGAAGTATAGAAACAAAGAATGTTTTAGTTGCTTTTTACCTTCAGCTTTCCTAAGTCGACCAATTTTTCCAGAGCACGCCAAGTGTCAAGATGATCAATCTCCACAGGCACTTGCATATCATTTATGAAAGCAAATGCAAAACTGTCCTTGGCCCTCTAGAAAGGGTGTATATTGATTTTACTTATTTGGCAAAGGATTGAAAAAACGGCATTTTTATAATAAAATGTGAAAGTAATTACCTGAAAGGGCATTGGACAATGTATAAGATAGAGATCAATGTAGTCGACTTGTAGAGATTTTAGTTGAATATTCACGCAGTCCTCGACGTCTTCAGGTGCATGTGCGGTGAAAGGAAGCTAGAATATGGAAAGTTTCTTGAGTGGTTGTACCTACTGAAACATTCATCGATCAAGAATTACCTTGGATGTAACAAATACATCTTCTCTTTTCAGCTTCCCACTGGTGAAATAGTCGTTCAAGACTTTCCCGATGATCGCCTCATTTCTATATAAAAATGCAGTGTCTGAAAAGGGTGTTTAGCAGAATAATACGAAAAAATCGACATGTTTCTCAGGTGAGAATGCACTGCGTATGCGAGGTGTTTATCTTGCACACTCAGAAGATATTTGGATGAAAACTGAAACCTAACTGTGACAATCATCCACATCATAATTGGGAGGTAACATGTTTGAATACATTGAAGGCCTTCGCATTCTCGCTCCAAACGAGAAGCCGTTTATGATACTTTTGAAAAATGGCGTGTACACTATGGCAAATCGACGGTTTATTTTTTGAGATATCTTCATCACTTTTGCTGGAAAATGTTGAAAGCATTAACTGAGTTTCCCATCCCAGTCTAAAGACAACAAAGAGACTCATTCTGACATTGACATTGTGCTTAGCAAAGAATGTGAACCGGTAACCCTCGTTGCCTGTAAGTATCACTGATTGTGCAACCAAGCGCTCAGGTAAAATCTTTGAATTAACTGGCACAAGTGGGCATTAAACTTCCAATCACATTATTTCAAAATTTTTCAGCGCGGTGACATGCTCATCTACGTTGGTAGCCTGAAAATGGGTGTGTGTTCAGGAGAAAGGTCAATTCTTTGTGGCTGTTATCTATCAAAAAGATAAAATTCGAAACTTCTAAAATTTTGTGGCCAATAAACCCGTTAAGTGTTTCTGTCATGCTCTCACAGTCTATAAACAGGGTCTTTTTCAACCAAAACGTGATTTAAGAGTATCGAAAAGTAAAAATATCGAAAAAATATGCGATACTGTTTTCTTAGCTTCTCACGCAATTCTGCAGAGCTGTTTTTTTCAATTCAAATAAATTGAAGTTAGTAGAGTTTAGTGGCATTTTTTGTGTCATTCCAGGTGTTAGCGCTCTAAGGTGCAGCTACTAAGAGTTTATGAGGATCTACTGTCGATTCTTACGTTTTGCTACAATCTTGTCGTTAAAGGAACGACCTACCGATCATACGGTAGCCGCTGTCAAGCGCTGTTTTCAGTGCGGTCACAAGCTCAGCTTCGTTGGTAGCCTGGAAATGAGTATTTGTGCAAGAGCAAAGGTCAATCGTTGTGGTTATTAACTTTAAAAAATAGAAGTGTTTAGGCTTATTCTTAAATGGACTACAGTCAAAACGTGATTTAACAGATATTTTAAATTGCAAAAATGCAGAAAAGCGAATCTGAAAAGTGTGGATCGAGGCTACTTCTCCCCCTGATTCACTCATTTGATTTACACTCGGAACCTACTAGCTTAGTTCCTAGCCCCAAGACTGGTGTGGAAGCTCCTGTTGAAAGTCTGATTGTTGGCACGTTAACAACCATCTCTAAAAAACATCGACTAAGGAGTTGCATGTGAAACTCAGAGGAAGTTGAAAGCAATAAGCTGACTCTATCAGAAAAATGTATAGCACAAGAAAAATTGCATAGTACATAAGATCGTAACAGCTGTAGAAGTTTTTTTCAAACAAATTTACATCACATATCAAAAATTTTGCGTAATGCGCGAGAATGACATTGTTGTGGCAAAACTCATTTTCACAGCCAAATAAAAGCTCCTTAAATCTCGTCTGCCATTGAGTTTTCTAATCAAGAGATGAGCGAATTTACGGCGGGCGAGTTTGCCATAAAAATCCCCAATGTGATTTAATGAAAGATTTCTACTTCCGCAAAGATTGACACACGTTTCCCTTACGAGAAGTGAGTGAAGAGTTAAGGGGTAGCATGCGACGAAAGCCAATACCGGAAACGATCTTTGTTACAAGTGCTTGATCTCAATTAACTGAACAAAACAATTATGATAACGTTGCATTCTATGATAGGGCAAATGAACTTCAAAAATTGAAACAGCTTTTCTTACGACATCGTTGGATGTTCAAGATAAATGACCATTTTGTCTACATACTGCCATGTTGAATTAAATTGACTTCGACTATCGATTAATTTCACACGGCACCTCATTCTTTTCAAGCGACAAGTAACAAAAGAAACAACTCAACCAGTTATTTTCATTATGAATATTGCAGGTTTTGCAAGTTTTTGGAACTGTTCAAGGTACAGCTCACAATATTTAGGAAGCTGAACTTGACAGATTTTTGTAGAAAAGGTATCTCTCGCATGGTTTTCATGTCAAAGGTGTGAGACACGATTGAAACATCAGGCAGCTTCTTTGTAAACAGCTTCTCTTTACAGCTACTGTCATGTTTTGTGCTATCAAAGTCGGTGACGATGACAAATAGCTCTGTAGATTGCGCAGTGCTTTTTTACAGGAGCTCTCATACAAACATTAAACTTATTTGTTCCCCTTAGTTTGCAGCTGGCAATTTCGCAGCCTTGTCTTGTAGCGTTCAATTCCGATACGTACTGGCGGATTCAGCTCAACAGGCGACAAGTCGCTGAAATGTTCAGTGTTGTGAGTTCATTGACAGAAGAGTTTTTGAGATGGCGCATGAAACAAACAGAATTAGAATAAAAATATATTAAGCCGTTGCGAAAGTCCCTTCCGTTTCTTCAAATCTACAAAAAAGCTACAAATTTTTTCCAATGAAGGTTTTTTCATGCTTCTCAAAAGATTTTGCGTGCCCATATTCCCGTCTCAGTAAAAGGGAGGGGGAAGGGGGAGGCAAACAATTCCGAAAAATTTTTTTACAATGCTATCAAAGAAGCTTTAAGTACCGTTTTTAGAGCTGGCTTCAACTTACTATTCGCAGTTTAGAACGAATCCCGATCGCTTTTCATTACTGCGAGATTACGGTAGAAAGCTCAAGTATAAGGTGTCATTGTGAGGAAAGCTGCCGTCTCAAAATTTCAAAAAGTGTGGAAGCTTATGTAATACAGTGCTGGACATAATTATAAAGACACTTTAGAAATCGTCATTTCGTTTCCTTTCAATGAACCTGCCTGAACCTTGCTGTATTGTGCGCATGTTGAGCTACCATGACCCATCAAAAGGCTTCCAATCTTGTTGAGTTTGAACAGAGAAAAACAGAAAAATTCGAAAAAGCCCTCAATGAAAGCTGGACAAAATTGTAAAGACACCTGTTTTTCAAACACTATCGAAATCCTTAACTCTCAGATTTTTTTATACAGTTACATCCTAAAATATGAAACATTTGCAACACCTACGGCCTGTCATCCTATTCAAAGAAAGTGATCACTGCATTTTTGCTTTCAAAAGCACCAAAAGTCAAACTGTTTCAATAAAGCTGGTTTAAGATTTAAGCTCTCTTTCATTGTAAATGATAATCACGGAATCCACTGAGCCTTTCATAAATGAGGTGATCAGTGTTTTCATTAACTCTGCGTAATTGCTGACATTGACGGACAGACTCCAACCTCACCATAAGGTTGCCACGCTTTCATTCCACAAACTCTGCTTGCAATGTTCATAAAGCGCTGCACTTGATTTGTTACATAACCTACATGGTAATGCAACTTTGCAACAACTTTCAGATCTTCCTTAGTGATGCAGTTGCAATATAGATTCTAAAAACTTTCCACGAGAAATTTCTGCGAGCAGAAGATTCGACATAATGTAGATCTCCCTGTTTCCCCTCTGTGTTTCATGTCACATTTTACCTGATAAATGAGATTAGTTAAGATTTTATAATTTTAAGCGTCTCCTGTTTCATCTCGCGATCTGAGATGGCTATGATTGTGCAAGGTGCTCCACTAAAATTTAGTGGATGTCAACTGTGGCTTAACCAGAATGCTCAACCCCGAAATTTTTTCCTAGTCATGCACACGAGTTCGCTGTTGGCTGGTTGTATGGCTGTCGTGTTGGCTACATTGCAGTACTTTCTGTTGCTTGAAAATCGAGTTTTGTGGTGCAAAAGTGCGTCAACCCTATCGTGAGGTTGGAGTTTGTCCGTCAGTATCAGCGACCACGCGGAGTTTATGAGAGCGCTCTTCACCTCATTCATCGAAAAGACTCAGTAGATTTTGTAGCTATCATTTGGAATAAACAAGAATCTCCTTAAACCGGCTTTTTATTGAGACAAATCGACTTTTGATGCTTTTGAAAGCAAAAATGCAGTGATCGCTTTTATTTGAATAGGATGACAGACCGTAGGTGTCGCAAATATTTCGTATTTTAGGATGTAACTGGGCATAGAAATTTCAGAGTCAAGGGATGCGATAGTGTTTGAGAAACAGGTGTCTTTGTAATTTTGTCCAGCTTTCATTGAGGGCTTTTTCGAATTCTTCTGTTTTACTCTGTTCAAACTTCAACAAGATTGAAAGCCTTTTGATGGGTCATGGTAGCTCAACATGCGCACAATACAACAAAGGTTCAGACAGGTTCATTGAAAAGAAACGAAAATTACGATTTCTAGAGTGTCTTTATGATTATGTTCAGCACCTGTAGGGTTTTCACGGACGCTGAGTTTAGTGCTCAATTATATACAAGATTGCGAAGCTTTTCAAACGGCGTACCCGCACTTTTTGCAACATTAAAAAAACGGCCGCTATTGCCTACCTCGCATGGCTTTTTAATGAAGCATTATGATAAGTTGCGGACTTCACATTTAAAATCGGCAACTCTAGATAACCCAGTGGGGAGTTTCGAGAATCCTTGTTTAATTTCTGAGAAAATTTGGATTTTCATTCCTCACAACCCTTCGAAGTTGCTACCATAATCCTACAGTAATAAAGAGTGATCAGTCCGCCTATACTGTAACTTCATCACAGGAGAGTTATTCACAATCCAACAGGAGGCACATTTTTGGGACATCCTGAATGAAGCAGATTTGTGTGTCTGTCTGTCGGTGCAC